GCCCTGGGCATTCTGCTCCAGTTTTTGGACTTGCTGCTGCAAGCCTGCCAGCAATGACTGGAGCTGCTTGACACCATCTGGTGCACGTCAGCCTCCTCCTCCTGCCCTTGGCCTCCCTGGGGGCCATGGAGGAGCTGCAGCAGTGCCCGGACACCAGCGTGCCCCGCCACATCTGGCGTCTGGACACCAGCAGCGAGTGGTGGGACCGCATCATCCTGGAGCACTGGGGAGACCAACAGTGGACCCAGAACTTCAGGATGAAGAAGGACACCTTCCTGGAGCTCTGTGAGTGGATCACCCCTGCTCTGCGGCGACGGGACACTCGCATGAGGTCCGCCATCCCCCTCCAGAAGCGTGTGGCCATTGCCCTGTGGAAGCTCTGCATGCCGGACAGCTACCGATCCGTCGGGAACCAGTTCGGCGTGGGGAGATCCACCGTCGGAGCAGTGCTCATGCAGGTACAGCACGCACCAGCCACAAGGGAAAATGTGGGGGGAGGAGGGGAAACTGCCCCACACGGGAGGGTGCGGTCTGTCCCAGCCGTACTACACGCCTCCTGTGGGGGTTGCTTCCGGGAGTGGGGCACGGGGCAGTGCCAGGAAATGAACACTCCAAGCCACCCCGGGGCCCCAGTGATTCACGGTTTGCTGTGTTTCTCTGCAGGTGGTCAAGGCCATCAACAAGGTGTTGCTCCACAGGGTGGTCCACCTCACCGACCCAGACGTGGTCATCCAGGGGTTCGGCGCCCTCGGCTTCCCCAACTGCGGGGGGGCCATTGACGGGATGCACATCCCCATCCATGCCCCGGAACATCAGGCCTCCCAGTACATCAACCGCAAGGGGTACTTCTCCGTTCTTCTGCAGGCCGTGTCTGACCGCCAAGGCCAGTACACGGAGATTAATGTGGGCTGGTCCGGCAAGGCACACGACACCAGGGTGTTTTGCAACTCTTCCGTGTGCCAGAGGTTGCAGGCCAGGACCTTCTTCCCTGACCGCCATATCAGGGTCGGGGATGTGGATATGCCCGTCTGCCTGGTGGGGGATGCGGCCTATCCCCTCCTGCCTTGGCTCATGAAGCCATACATTGGCCATCTCAACCTCTCTTGTGAACGGTACAGTGCCAGGCTCAGCAGCGTCTGCATGGTCATGAAGGGCTCCTTTGGCTGTTGGAAGGCACGGTTCAGATGCCTCCTCACCCGGCTGGACTTCGGGGAGCACAACATTCTGCATATGGTGGCAGCATGTTGTGTTCTCCACAGTTTCCCTGCCAGCCTGGATGGCTGAGGCTGAGCACATGGCTGGCCAGTACACGTAGCCCCGCACGCCGCCATACAGGAGGCCCAGCGGGGGGCGGTCTGGATCTAGGAAATCCTGTGGGAGAGCTTCCATGTGGAAGAGGACTGAAATCTCCCTGCATGCCCCACTGGGGCCTTATTCCACCCTTCCCTCCTTCCCCTTTCCCCTCCCTAACCCCCCTTCCTAATGTAAAAAACACACCTGTTTTGCCAACAAAAATTTCTCTTTATTGTACATAACTGGGGTGGTGGATGGAGGAGTGAGGGCGGGAGAGGGGAGGGGGAAACCTGGGAAGAGGGAGCTGGAAGGGGGAGAAAGGGAAGGAAGGGAAGGGAAAGCTCAGGCTTGGGGGACAGCACTGGGGGTGGGGTGGCGGCAGGGGGGAGTGGGTGTGGAGGGTGGGGACAGGAGGGAGGGTGCTGTGGAGGAAGCGGGAGGGGGAGCAGG